TGATACTCTTTCTTCGTTACTTCGAAGACATCAAGAGCAACCTGATCACCAAGTCAGGGCCCGTTAAGACAAAGAAACAGTAAGTTGTACGGCCAAGATCTAAATCTATCACAACTGTTGGCCAAATAACAATCATTTAGGTTATTTCTGCTTGAGATCAACAATTGAGAGAGTTGGAAGTCCTCCTGACAGCTCAAGTAACCGGCCTCTTAGAGCGGTGTAAGTGTAAACATCACACCACTGTTGGAGCTGCTTCTACTGCTGCTGAAATATACTAGGTGGGGAGGCGAAAACAATCCCATAAACCGGATATTATTCACATCATCTTTGATGACTTTTTATTTCCTCTGGGTTGATATCTTTCCTTGAAATACAGTCTGGGGAAAAACCTGATCATAGAGAGAAAATAGCCACATAATTTTTGCTCACCACTTTTCATGTTAATAATGAGATGATATGCTATTTACATTTGGCCATATGACAACTGATATAGAGTAATGGGTCCAATTTTTGAAGATAACACTTAATCATGTCTTATCTCAAAGTAGTGTAGTATACCTTGAATGTTTGAACTTTTGTTTTAACGCATTCATGTAATATGGCGTGACTGCTCGCGCGTGGCTCGTTCCCACGTTGTGCTATCATTAAGCGCATTCTTCGAGCTTGATACCCCAGCCAGTTAACAGGTAAGTTGTACAATATTCTTATTTATTAAATTTGACATTTAATCTGTGGTAAAAATATAATTCTCATCAGGGCACACTACCAAGTCACAAGCCTTTTTACTTCGAGTTCGTTAATCGGTACTTACACGTTAGGTAGAGTACTGGTTAGGGTATTAAGAGGAGAAGTCTTTAGTAAGTGCAGTTAATTAAGGTCTACCTTAAGTACAACCAGTTACTTACAGGAGCACTATATTTATGGGGGTTCTTAGAAATATTTTGAAGAGAGAAAAAAATACCCCACTTATATTCATTCTCTTCTATATGAATCATTTTTTGGATAAAAATAAAGGTGCCATTACAAAAAATGGGTAGGCAACAACAGACGTGTCTACTTATAGGTATTTAGAATGTTAAATATTCACTCGCCAGTGGAAGTCTTCCTGTAACATCTTGGGGTGGACCCTTGTCTAAATAAGCAGGTGTGGGTCTGTCGATACCAAAGCCACCCATGACACTACTCCGTTGAATCGAAAGGCTCCTCAAGTGCCGCGTAGCAACATTAAGGGTACTTTGTAGGGTGGATTAAACGATGATTGTGTTTTGTCACACCTCAACCGTACGTGTGAGCAGGAGTCCCAGTTTGCAGGGGGGTATAAACTGCTTTGAATTGTTCATGTGGTGAAATCGGACCTACGTTAGCCATTTTGAGTCGAAGTCTGTCAATGTATGTAATGTAGTTAAGTTTATTTTTCTCGGCACAATGGCTGGTAAATTATCCCGGAAGTCTGAGGATTGATCTTAATACCATATCTATCTAGCAATAGGCATCGATTTTGGTGGATGTCTGGATGGCAACGTTCCGAGAGAGGAACTTTTCCCAATGAGTTGGGCCAATCAGACGCCAAAGTGACCTTCAGTTGTCGATGAGGCCATTCTCCCACAGAGATGGCTAGTGAATGTTATATTCCTAAAAGGATACAGTGTGATCCTAGAAGTGTGGAAAAGCTGCTGAGGAGCTCTAATTCGAACTGAGCCCCTCTGTCAGGGGTTACTGTTATTAGCACATCAAACACAAATACTCAATGCTGAGGGAAAGCCTTTACTACCGTTTCCGCTATGATGTGAGCAAGTGGCGAAGCTACAGGAAATCTGACGAATCTATGAATGCATGTGAACGGGTAATTGTATCCACTGGAGAATGACAAGGGACCTGTCCAATAAAAAAACACGGGTGGAACAAGGATCCCCTCGTAGAATGTCCTTAGACGGGACATTATATGTATGTTAACTTTCGCCATATGGCACGGTGTACACTTTTTTGATCATGTCCGCATATTGCACCATATGTTTGACCAAATATATATTGCAGAGATAATTTTAGGTGAAGCTTTTGCTCCGGATTGCGATGACGACTGGAATTTACCAAATATGGATGTTCTCATAATTTTACGGATAAGCAATAAGTAATAATAAGTAACCTAAGTGAGTCTTTGGTTGTGAACCCCTTTTTATCGAGTTTCCATCTATAGAAGATGATGATAGTTTGGACTCGAGACCAGAATTGCTTACAGCAAGGATAAAATATAATTCTTAGTCATTCTCCTGATTCTCACTCTAGTTTTTGGGGCTTACAATGGTTCGCTACACTGTATTCATATGTATCTTAGAAAGCTTATCCGTCAAATAACTCCCCACCCAATTTACGAGTCTTATGTCATGGGTAAATTGGGACGAATCTCGTGTAGTGGTTATCTGATCATTTTCGCGCTGAAAAAGGAAGTAGAAGGCTTACGTTCTGTGTAGATCTGAATAGCCTATTTTTACCTCGTGATGGAACTGTTTAAAGCCTAATAGTAACTGGTAACTCTGTCATATGAATAATACTTAATGTGTGTGGGGTTAAGACACCTAGAAGAGAATGAAACTAGTTCATAATCCCCTGAACTGTTTGATTTAGTGCTCCTCCTATAGCCTTAGGTAATGTATGTACCTCTAGTGCAACAGTTGGACCCTTATTAAGATACTTGAAGTCCACAGCGCTGGCCAGAACATTTTCCAGCACTGTCTGCCTCTTCTGAAGACTGAAAGTCTCTTGTCTTTCCTCTTAATATGTTGGCCTGGGGCTGTGTGTGCTGTACGCCATCGTGTAAAAAACGTCGGTAGGAGATGTTCAACCCTAGCAAACTCCTGAGCTGCGGCACTGAATTAGGTAGTGGATACCATCTGACAGTAACCGACTTTTTGGACAATGGTGTAAGCTCAACGTCTTCAATGAAAAGTCCTAGGAAATCTGTTGTATCTGCCCCTGACAATGCACTTATTCTGACCAATTTTCATACCACTATCTTCCTGTTTCCGTAACACTGGTTGAATGTAATCTTCAGGAGTGTCCGTATGGGTATTTGCGATGGATATGTTATCTAACCAGGCTTTGGTAAGCGCCAGATCACACATCAAGTTGTGGCATATCATGCACGTCGCAGGGACCCTATACCCAAGTGACCTTAAAATACCGTTGGAGAACTGACAGTTCATTTATCTCATATGATGCTACTGAATTTCGATCTAACTATTTTAAACCTGCTTTTGCGTTGGCTCACAGTGGTTAGGACTCTCGCCGACCATGTACGTGATCAGGGGTTCGATGCCCTGCCGACGCACACCTGATATCTATGGTCGGCCTGCAAAACTTGGGCTACCGATATCACATGCTGAAAATTCCATACCTGTACCAAAAATACTGTGTGGAATTAAGCTGTAATGAAAAAATACATAACTTTCTTAGTTAGACATAGAGACAGATCTCGGGCACCTTACCAAGTGCCATGCAGCGATATTCAGCAGCCTGAGTAATGCCGATAATAATGATAATAATGAAAAGCCATAGGAAACCATACTGTCGGCGACTACAGTTGGTGGCAGTAGCCACTCACTTTATATTTGTGACATGTCAAAACCTGGCTGACACAGAGACAGACCTTTTGCAGAAACAAGCACTCAACTTTCACGCATCATACAGGAAACCTGTCGCAACCTTCAACAGAAGCTATGTCTATCTGAAAGTAAGCTCACTCAAACCCATGCGGTTGATTTCCCTTCTTCTCGACATTACTATGCTTATCACAGGCACAGATCGATTTAACTATCGTGATCTGCTCGTAGATGCCTATTCGGAGATGTTAATTTAGGGAACCATCTACTAAAGCAAAATTTTGCCGCTGTTTAAGGAAACCTTAGATAATCCAACCTTTGTTCTAGATAAAAACAGTTTCTGAGACTCCTGTGGTATCGACTGATTAGAATTGGCTTACCTAGAAAGCAATACCATGAGCCTCAGATCTACAGTTCCTAATGATATCCACAGAAGCGAAAACCTGCCAGTAAGCAAAAAGGTAATCATCACTACGAAGACAACAGAATCCTATAACGAAATACAAAGAAAAAAAATGCTATATAGCGGGAGTTGGGCAAGCACACTGCCGGACATATATTTGCTCCTTGGAAATGCTCAACGCAGTGATTGTAGAGAGATGGAATAACAAAGTCTTGATGAATTCTTAAACATTGTCGAACAAGGGAATGATTCTGTTGTACACATGATTTCGCGAGTGTGCGAAGTCTCCAGTCAGCAAATATTTGTCACGGGACTGTTTAGAGAGTTGTTTTCACCTAGTGTGATACAGCCGTTGCTATATGTTCTCATGACACCTCTTCATCAATGATTTAACTACTTTGACTGACAGAGTTCTGGAAATAGTGGGGCGGCCAGCCACTGAAGTTTGCTTAATCAGTAGACGGTCTTCGAGCAACAACTCTTAAAGGAGTTGTGTGACTCTGTTAGGCGACTTTTTAAACCGAATAATGCATACAGTGTCCCCAACCGCCGACGTAAACTATCTTGCAGCAGCAATTCACATGGTCGTGCAGAATCTAAACGACGTTCAGTTAAGTAATCACCATGAGAGCAGTTGAGCGGTCAGGATTTGTTTATTGCTGAGTTCATCTGTTTTATAAATTTGTTTAACTCTTGTACTGAATACTCACATGAAAGTACGAGATATCTGCAAAAATTATAGTGAATAAGTACGCGTATTTAAAAAGCTTCATCCTCATCCAGATCCCTGGCATCAGTAAGGAAGTGAATTCATTTTTCAACTAATCCATTTCTAGCATTCACTATCCAGAATCATTTATACAGATACGAAAATTAGGAGAAATATATAGTTTAAATTATTGCAGAGTTACAGTAGCAGATTATGAGGAGATTTTAGTTTATTATTCTTAACTGATGAAGTTTGAAGTTTGAATCTGTGGATTGGTAGTAAATGGTCAGCACAGTTCAAACCGCAAGGTCAAGGTCAAGATTTGCAATTAGGCAGGTCGTTGGAAATTTTGAGCTCGTACGTTATATATTTTGAAAACCATAGTGTCACACGACTCTATCAAGATATCAAGTTTGGATTTTGAGTTAGCAAACCAAATGTACACTAGAAATCCCAAATGAATATTTTTGAGGCAATTAAGAGTTATCTGCGGGGTGGTTTTAGGTTTTCTTGTGGAACTTTTAGTGTTTCTTTGATTGGAAATTCGGCTGTGGTAGATTTCGTCGAAAATGTCGTATTTCCTCAGAACTTCCTGGAAATTACTACCCCAAACGGAGCAGAACGTGTGATTCCAACCCGAAGTTGATTCCGCACATTTATATCTTTCATACTTATATTTTTTGAGGAGAATAATCAATCCTTTCAGGAATAGACAATAGATTCAACAGGTGATCGTATCGTTTCGTAGACTCGTGCATGTCCTAAAAAGAAGTATATAGGGGATTGTGGGTTATATTTGTGAAATTCTAGAAACCAATCTTTTAAGACTAATTGGGCGGCAATAGTGCGGGTGTATTAACTCTGTTTCTGGTAGTTTAACTCCTTACTAATGTTTGTAAAGTAATTTGGATTCTCTTCTGATACTTTATTAATTAATATAAGCCTATTTTGTTTCTGTTCACTAAGTGCTTTCCTGTCATTGCGAAAATGAGCAACTTATTCTGATGAATTATGTGGTGTTTAAGATTAGTCCATTGGTTTATCGGCGTTCACAGTTTGACTGAATTCAGTAACCACTGTATGATGAATCCTAAAATTTTAGTAAGTTAGGGATAGGTGTGTGAAAAAAGCAACAATTCATCAGTGTCATACATTCATCAAATTACAGTAATGAGAGTACTACTAAAATATACTTTTCTGGCTTATCCATTTTACATATGTGTAGATCTGTGGATTTTAAATCCTTCATATGGCTAAATAGCTTTCGTCGTATCAATTTTTCCGAGCTGTCGCCAGTGTGTGGACTGACATTACAACAGTACAGCCATACGTTAGTGTTGCTTTTAGTTCTTACTTTAACATCCAATCAGACAAAATAAAAGTGAATACGTATCTTGTTCTGTTTGAGAAGTGGGCTTCCTGTTGTGTGAACTAATACTGTACAGATTGTGCATATATATATATACATATATATATATATATGTATATATATATATATATATATATATATGATTACAGCTTGATTCCACACAGTATTTTTGGTACAGGTATGGAATTTTCAGCATGTGATATCGGTAGCCCAAGTTTTGCAGGCCGACCATAGATATCAGGTGTGCGTCGGCAGGGGATCGAACCCCGGATCATGTACATGGTCGGCGAGAGTCCTAACCGCTGTGCCACCACTAGATGTTATGCTGTCATTTACTTAAGGCTATTTTGTAGACCTGAATGGTCGATTTGAGTTATGTAGAGTGATAAAAATGTGAAGATAATGCTGAGTTATCACTATTATTGTTACTACCCATTTAACAAGGATATCTGTTTTCAAAACCAGTATTTTTTTAATCTACCAGATAATGAAAGAGGGGTTTCACTGAAGATACTAGCTATAAAGATACACCACTGGCTAGTTGTGGTTAATGGAAATCAATCCACTAATCTTTGTGCAACTTATGAAGAAGTAGAGCGATTACTGCCAAGTATTTCTAATGAGTAACTATTTTTGTTTACATAAAACCTTATCAGTTACTGTATCTATTTCCATCCACCGTGATTTATTGACGTCCGATTTTCTTTATTGATTAGGTTGCATTTTAAACCATATTCATACGTTGTTCCGGAGATTAAAGAATGCCCGGTGGGTATCTTCCTGGTCTCCCTCCTGTCTATCCTAACAGTTGGACATCCTCAGGATTACCTTCGAACATGTCTGACCTAATTCCTGCGGATGGAAATTGTACTGATGGCATCCACTGGATTTGGATTTCTATGGGACAGTGTGTTATGGATGCTCGTGGTGGTGTTGCCTTATTCTGTGGATTTGTTTGTTTAATTATTTGGATCGCAGTAGGAATACCTCAGATTGTGGAGAATTTTAGAACAGGAATTCCAGATAAAGCTCTTTCACTTGGTTTCTTAGTACTCTGGACTAGTGGTGATGTATGCAACTTGATAGGTTGTTTTTTAACTCATCAACTTATAATGCAGGTTCGTTGAAACACTTCTCTATAATATGCTGATGTTAATTGTATAAAATATGAATTGTCATGTGTATTCGTTTTATTTTCAAAGGTCACACTTATGTAGTGGGTGGTGATTAATGTGATAAAAACAATGATGAAAGGTTGCAGCAGGGTTTCCGTTTTATCTCTAATCATCACCCATTACATCAGTTGTGTTCTGCCAATCTAGAGCTATCGCAGATAATCCCACTATCAATATTTTTACGACTTGATATGTTGGTAAGCTGTGATATAAGTATAAAACTTGGGCACTGTGGTAGAGTATAATTCCATAATGGATAAGAATTTATTTTTAAATCACACAGTGTAGTACAGTTATATTAACTGATGACGTTTCGAGCTCGAAACATCATCAGTTAATATAACTGTACTACACTGTGTGATTTAAAAATAAATTCTTATCCATTATGGTAAGCTGTGACCCCAGCGCTCATATCATACCCACCTTCGTATCACCTTGTAGACCTTAGTGGATTAGCATCAGTATGAAGATACGGGTCATTCGAATTTGATAGAGCCTTTTGTAGGATCCGATGGTCCTGATTTAAGTCTCAGATTGGACCGATGAAGTAGCCCTTTAGTACTTCTCAAGTTTCTCAAGTTTTATTACTGATGTTGATGCACCGTTGAAACCACTTTTAAGTCAGTCACTTAACTCACATTATTTAGTAAGTTTTGTAGATTAGTGAATTAGGTCCAGACGCATGCACAATAATTGTGTAAAAGACTGAGTTGCGTATTATTTTAGCACTAAACTAAAGAATTAAGGCACTTCAACAGATATAAATTTGCTACGCACATCTTTTATTCTGCAGGTAAATATCATTTACTGTCAGCCCAATCAGGTTTATCGATTGTATATCAATGTTGAAAGAAAAGAAAATTTAATGGAAGATATTACTACAGCAGTGCATTTGTCCTATTGAGTTTGACAGAATGTAATCTGTTTCCATTTTATTTTATCGAAACATCACTAGAGAATGATGTCTGGACTAACTAATGGCTGACCAGAAAATAGAGAAATTCAAGTAGCCACACTTCAAAAAAGCACACGAATCTGCACTGGATAATACATAATACAGAATACTTAAGATCACTAGAGATTTTAAAAATCTGGGGGTGGGTGGGAGAAAAAGGGCTGAATATATCTTCAGCAATGTAAAGAACTTTCAGTCATATTATGATGAGTATTCAACCACTAATTCTTGTTGCTGACTGACTGGTTTCAACGTAGAACTTTTCACAAGTGTGCAGCAGTTCGAGTTGCCACATTCCTTCCATGTAGCACACAAAGCAAAAGAAGAGAGAAAACAACATAGATTCAAAAGGGAGGTAATAAACAGAAATGTGAGGCAAAAAGAATAGTAATATAGAAGAACAATAGAATTTTATTAGATATTATAAATCACAAGGAGTGGATGCATCTGCGCCAGCCATTAAGAACGATTTTGAGCCATATCAGTCTTCATTGGTTTTTATCATCTAAAGGACCCCAACCAAGAAGTCTACACCTCCCTACTTGGTTTAAACTAACTGTTGTGGTTTTCATTAACTGATGCTCTGTTTTCATTTGACCACCATTAGCTCTTTTTCAACCTGATCCTATGTCAGCTAACATTGGTCGTCAAGGTAGGCGGTGGCTAGGCATACGTAACACACGTCCTAACCATCTCAAAAGATGTAACTTCGCAACCTCGTTGATTAATTTCCCCTCTTTACCTAGCAATCGACCGGCATCTATAATCAAAGACAGCGAGTCAGGCTTTTCATGTCTTCCACTTTCAATGGTCATGTCTCACAGCCCCATAAAGAGGGACAGAGCGAACTGCTGGGCAGTACACACGTCCTTTGATCGATAGATAGCCGGATATCATATCTACGCCAGAAATGACGTCAGTTGGTACATGCCAAACGAGCCCTCTGTATGTGTTGAGATTTTGTCAGTAATCAACGCGTGGGGACTGATGCAACTTCCCGAATAAATGAATTGGTCAACACGCTGTACCAATTCACTCCCTTTCTTCAAGCTAGGAGTAGTCAATGTAGTTCAGTCCTGTAGCATCACCTTACATTTGACAGAGGGAGCGAATCGCATGCCAAACATTCGCAGAACGCTGCTCAGCTCAAGGTGTTCAGAAGACTCTGCATTTTGTCAGTGTCTTCTCTTGGAAGGACTATATCATCTGCATATTCTAAGTCAACGAGATTATTCCCTGGTAACAAATCAATCCCTGAGTCGTTGAAGTCAGTTAGTGTTAAGTCCATTAGTACATCTATGATAAAATCAAACAGAAATGGTGGTAGTGGACATCCCTGACGGACACCGCTGAATCTCACCACTTCAGATTACAACTCTCCGTAGGTTCTCACCTGGCTGATTGCATCAGTTCAAGTAGAGTGCCTTGATCAGTGCGATGTATTTGCTCGGTATTCCCTTCACAGCCAAGCGTCTCCATAGTACCTCTCAGCCGACGGAATCGAAAGTTGCCTTCCGGTCAAGAAATAAGACGATTGTTGGACGCCGGTAAGTATACCTATGTTCCAGAATCTGTCGAAGGGTGAAGATATGATCAATACACCCTCTTCCTGATCTAAAGCCTGCCTGGTTCTCTCGTGTTTGTTCCTCCCAAACACTGCTTAGTCTTCGCATGATTATTGAGCCTAGAATTTTAGATACCATATTGATCAACCTAATCCTCCTGTGATAATCACAGGAAGACTTGTCTCCCTTCTTGTATATGGGGATAATCAGTGACTTACACCAGACTGACAGGACTTCCTCTGATTCCCAGACGCTGCCTAATACCTTAGTTAACGCAGACAGTAAATTGTTTCCACCATCCATGAACATCTCTGGAGTCATTCCATCAGGTCCCACTGCTTTGCCTCGTTTCAGACTAGTGACAGTTTTTGTAATCTTTATAATCTAACCAATCGTCTCTCCTCAACACACGTTTAACTCCACCTATTATCATTCTGGAAGTCCAAAAGTAGCCATATCAGACCTGACACCCTTAAGGCGAATTTCGCAGATTTACCTTGTTGGCCGGGTGAGGTTAAGTAAATAACCACACTCGGGTCTTGTATGCGTGTCTCTGAAACACAACATACATCTATGGCTCGAGATGCCAGGGTTCGGACTAGTGATGCCTGTTTTCCGATTTGGCAGAAGGTCCTGACGTTAAATACTCGAATATGAAGTTGGCGTCGTGGATTTAAGAGGCTGTCGGGGGTGTTTCTATGGCTCTCATTGTTATTTGTGGTTACATAATGAAATGTAGGTGACTAAATAGCCTGCAAAGTAGTACTGGCAGTAGTAGGCAATCAAAATGATGAGGGTGACGGGGATAAAGGATGATGATGATCTGGAGGACTTCGTGTGCTTTTTGGAAGTGTGTGGTCAGTTGTTACTTCTCGAATGCCCAGACCGTGGAAGTTGATTTATTCTTGGGGTACCTGAAACAGATGGAAAATTAGTGTTGCGTGGCCTCAGAGCCAAGAGGACAACTGCTTGAGGTCAGTCACACACGGCCTGTCTGAACTGGCTTTTTACTTTGGTTCCGTATTAGTAACCTACCGCCGGTTACGAACCACCGTAGGGTAATCAGTATGTACAATTTTTGGGGTCGACCTTTCCAAAACTCCTCTCTCCAGACTGGAAAGGCAGCATAGGTGGTGTGTTGATCATCTTAGGGAAGCACCTTACTGCTGTTACATCCCTGTTCCCTAGCAGTACGACTTTGGCTACAGACCTCCAGCATAGTGTAAAATTTCTTACACTATGCCGGTAACTGCTTTTAGTCTAATCGCTATCCTAACAATCTTCCTGGCATGATAGGACCTGCAGGAACATTAGTTTCAGTCAGTTTAACTTGTTGGATCACTGCGATATGCAATCCCTACCACCATGTCAAGGTAGCAGATATCGGTCGGGATTCTTAGTGTTGCTAGAATATCAGTCAGTAACCCTACAATTCCATAAGTGGTTCAGACTAACAGTCGGTGGCTTCGTGGATCCACCACTTGTTTGAAATCCTGGTATTGGTTATTTTTTCAAATAAACACAAACGACTGAAGGATGAGAACGTCTATGTAGATTTTATTCACTCAAGCATTAAAGCTGTGTGACTGTTTCATGCGTGACACAAATAAGTCTATGCACTCCTGGTGTCTTGTTGCTGATGACTAGTTTTATCTTTCATACGTACACACACACACTTATGGATACACATTAGTTACATGCTTACATTTTGATGCATTATGTAGTGTTGCATAATCAATCCTAGGAAAAGATATAATCTTCCAATTACTATGAAACTATTTCTATTCAAATGGTGCAAAATACATATCTGCACGTGCTGGTCATTAGCTGATCAAATGCTTTTTATTTAAATATTTGAATATTGTTCAACACCATAAGTACATTGTTTCGATATTCAATATCGTGTAAAGAATGCTTCAGTGAAGTAGTTTGTCACCATAATCTTTAGAGCTATCCATCAAATTTCACTATTGACAGTGAATATCTTAGCGAAAAGGGATAAGTCTATTGCTTTCCATTTCTGGTTAAAAAGAACCTAGTAACACATATTTTTGTTCTTTTAGTCTACCTGCATTATCTTTCTTAAATTCCTCAAGTCTTTTAACTATTTTAAATGAAACTCAAATTCAAGATAACTCTATGTGAGTATTTGAAACTATTTCTCTATGTCAGCCTATTAGTAAATGAAAGCAAAATATTTGAAAAGAGGTGCTATTTGATCAGTTAACATACCACTAGAAAATTAATCTAATGCTCACTAGTGACTTGACTACATGATGAAGTTGCTTGGAGTTCTAGTGAGAAGTCATGATCGATGGGGTCTACTAAGTTGGGTATGAGAATAAGTACTTGACGACAACACCGTCTGGCGGTGGTGCTATATATCGCAAATTGACAAAGGTTAGAATTATCGGGCTATTGGATTCCGTCCCAGTGACTGAATGGTCACTGAGTCGCCTCGTAACCTGAGGCTTCTGGGTTCGATCTCTATTGTGGATATGGATGCGTGCTGATGAAGAGTCCCAAACTAGGACGAAACTGCTGTCCAGTGCTCCCTGGTCTTCAGTAGCTGCTTGACTGAAGTCAAATCGTGATCTAAACTGAAACCAATCGAATCCCTGCAGACACAACAGTTGAAAAGTAACATACTATTGATGTTTACAAATGGATATATGCCGCCAAGTTATCCTTTTACACTTTTGACTTTTGAGTTACTTATATAATAGTTTGTCTTTTATTTGTTTCGAAAATTTTTTTTATTACTTTTTAGATTGTTATAACTGGCTACTGTATTATTAGTGATTTAATTCTTGTATTTCAATTCATCTATTACAAAATTCGACATTATGCTGTTCTACGACGTGAGTTAAGCACTTTCGTTGTTTATATATATAAAAAATTCTTATTCACATTTCAATCACATCACACTTCATCTTTCAGTGACTATTATAAAATTTATTTAAAATATTTACTTGACAGTCGGTCGTAAAATGCGTAAACAAGTGCATTTTGTGTCATCTATGTGATGGAGTCCAACTTACTAACCAGTAATAGTGGATTTGACATTACGATCCGACAAGCAGTGGAGTTGTTTTTGATAGACTGATAGAGAGTATAAATTAAGAATTCATCAGCCCTATTTCACTTGACCTAAATTTAATTTAGACAATGAGTTTGCAATATTTATCACCCTATACGATATAGTTTCGAAGTGTTATTATGTACACTAGTTTATGAGCAATACATATTGTACACATTCGATTTTAAATAAGTGATACAGTACACTGAACAAGTAAAACAGTTCAATACACGTCAGCAGCTGGAATGTTCACTATTTTAATTCATGAAAGTGAAATTCAGTTATCTAGATGATCAGTCTTTTCAGTGTAGTGCATGTGTTTGACTTAGTTTTAACATCGACATTTACACAGAAGTGCAACGGTCAGAGTTGCCGCACTCCGTAAAACAAACAAAGGCAGAGAAAAAAGACATTCAAAACAACTCTAAGGAGCCGAAATGAGTGATACGAAGAAAGTATAGGATTATGGAAAGCCAGGAGGATATAATTGATCTAGGAGATTTCAAAGAGTGAGTGCGTCTTCGCCACTAACAATGATTTTGAGCCATATCACCAATAGTTTCCAGCCACTAGTTCTTAGCGTCCCAAAGACCCCTACCAGGTAGTTTATATCTGCCTATTTGGCTCAAACCAACTGTCAATAACTTCACGAATTGATTCCAGGTTTTTTGTTTGACCACCCCGAACTTTTTCCAACCTAATCCAAACTATGTGAGCCAATACTGTTCGGGGAAGGCGGTGGTTCGGTATGTGCTACACGTGTCCTAGTCATCTTAATGGATGTGGCTTTCGATTGACTTCCCTTCCTTACCTGACACTTTATTCCTGACCTGCATATTAATCACCGTACTATACCACTTAACACGGGAGATCGAAGGCAAACATCCTTGATCAAAAACAGGTAGCCACACGAACCACATGAGCACGTGTTTTTACTTCGTAAAACACAAAATATGTGACTGATTCGTTTTTATGTGGAATGTTGGACATATAATTAGACCAACACAAAACTTTGTTCAGTATGATTTACCACGTTGCGAAATATGAAAATAAAATTAAGCAGGTATAATACGGTATACGAGCTTGACTTGTAACCGGGAGGTCCTGGGTTCGAACCCCAGTGGGTGCGTACTGCCGATGATTCCCAAACTAGGATGAAACAGCTGTCCAGTACTCCCTGGTTTTCAACAGTTCTCTAACTGATATCAATCCGTGATCAACTCGTAAAAACTACATAAGGATAATATGAGTGGGAGGGAAAATTGAATACAGGTAAGTGAAACTGTTAAGGATTTAAAAGGTGACAGACAGTAAATACATTTATATCATAATAAATAATCCTAAACTATATCATCAGGATTGGCTTTATGTTCTCTTTTCTAATGTCATATTCCTTGATTTCCGAGTGAAACATAGGGCTTCAAGCTTTTAAGTTTCAGTAGCGGTTTTGTTGTTTCTACGGGGTGCGGTTGCTCCCTCTAATTACAAGCTTACTATCTGCTAGGCGAGTTTTAAGAGTGCAGCAAACGAGGACTGAACCCAAACCTTCCGCGTGGTTGATGAACATTTTTTTCATTGAACCACTGATGCATGGTTTAATGGTTAGGATTTTTGATCCTTACGCAGGTGGCCCGAGTTCGACTTTCGGCGTGGGAGTGCTTCCGATCAACTACTCCACAAACTGAATTGTGTGGTCAAACAACATACATTAGAAACTTGCCCCCTCCCCCCATCCAAAGCATAATCCCACAAAGTTTTTTTCTAGTTGTTCCACTATATTGTACTCAGCACCAACGGATTGATTGGTGACGAAATCACAGCACGGATCCAGAAAGCTAGGGCTGCTTTCGCTAACTTACACCGTCTCTGGCGTAGGCGTGACATCCGACTGTCAACCAAGGGACGTGCATACTGCTCAGCAGTTCGCTCCGTCCTTCTCTATGGCGGTGAGACGTGGCCATTGAGAGCGGAAGACATGAAGAGATTGTCTGTTTTTGACCACAGATGTTTACGATCTCTTTCTCGCGTTAGGTGGCATAATAAGGTAAGTAATGTTGACGTTAGGCGTAGAGTGTTGGGCAAAGAGGGAAAACCAATCGAAGAGGCTATAAAGTTACATAGATTGAGATGGCTAGGTGACGTGCTGCGCATGCCTAACCATCTCCTTCGCCGACGGGCATTATTAACTGATATAGGTGCAGGTTGGAAAAGAGTAAGTGGTGACCAAACAAAAACATGGCCTCATCAATCCATGAAATCCTTGACAGTTAAACTGAGTCAGGTGGGGAGGGAGATGCAGACTTCCGGGTTGGGGCCCTCGGGACTCTAAGAATCAATGGCTGGAGACACTAGGTGACATGGCTCAAAATCGTTGTCAATGGCGCAGATGTATTCAGTCTCTTTAACCTTCATACTCCTTTCTACCATTACTCATTCTGTTTCACTCTTATACTTGTCAAAACTCTATTGATTCTCTTCACTCATTTTCTTGTCTACCCTTGTGTGCTATTTGGAACGTGGCAACTGGAACTGCTGCACTTCGGTGCCAAGTTCTATGTTGAATCCAGACAGACAGACAGACTATATTGTACTATTCTGATCAATAATATAAAACTAGATGTAATACAATACTAACCAATGGCCAATGTTTGATAATTTTGTCCAGAAGAGTCTGTAAGCATACTACACATCGTCACATTAACTAGCAAAAAAAGTCTGTTTTTTACATTACTGTTGTAGAAATGGCTGCTGTTTTAAAAGAAGGTCAGATAACTCCTGTTAGAAGTACTTCACCCACTATACTTGATGATGATTTGGAACAAACTAATCAACGTCAAGAATATCAACGACTTCCAGTTTGTTTTATTGGTGTGACCGGTTTAACTTTAACAGCTGTTACATTGACTTCAATGGGAAGTATATTTAGTGATTATGCGCCTCAACAACAAATTGTCAGCGGTGTTTTCCATCATTCGAGAAGATTATTAGAATGGAAAGAGTATGACATGATTGAACCTGAATTTATACAATCAGATCCTTTAGATGTAAGTTGTCTTGTTGAACTGGCTGTAAAATAAGTAACATTAGTGATTCTTATTTACTATGGAAAGTAGACATCTTCAGTAGATTGCGAAATTTATGCATCCTTGATTTCAGTTGTGAAGATTTGAGGACCAGTCATAGTTTTCAGACGTAGTGAAACAGTTAGTTAGTAATATTCTTTGATTTATGGCTTCCACCACTTTCCCCCGCTACTTGTCTTTTTCTTTTTTATTCCTTCACGTTCCCAGTGGAACATAGGGCTTCAAGTTAGAGGTTAGAGGTAGGGGAGTGCGTCGGCCGGGGATCGAACCCTGAGACACATGCGTAGTCGGCGAGCATTCTACCGTTGTGCCACTCGCTATTTGTCAGCTAACTGTAATACCTATTTGATGTGATAGAGAGAAGTTTTAATTCAGAGTAATAATTATAGCGAATGTTCAACTGTCAGGCATGGTAGCATGATCAACACTTCACTTGCATATTAGGAATTAAGCATAATTTGATGCTGTACGTATTTATTCTTTCTTTACCAGTTTATATGGCGTTTGTTTTGTCTACATTCTTACGCATGTATGTATGTTTGTATACATGCCTAACACACACACATCTTGCATATTACCTCATGTTTTTTTTTCTCCTCTATTATATTAGGGTGCGGTGACCAAAGTGGGATATGCTCTTGGATGGGTTTCTACATCTATGTACATGTTGTCCAGATTGCCACAATTATTTCGTAATGTATGTTTACTTTCTATTTGTTGATTTGCATTTTGAAATATATTTGTGAATTATTCAGTCTGATTATAAAGTAATAATTACAAATCTATATAATAAGTTTAGCTGACAGATTTTAGCATTATAAAACGATGAGAAAAGGGGGAAAAGGTGGTAAAATGTTTTTTTTTGGGGGGGGGGGTAAGGTTTCTTTTAGAAGTTAAGAATTGAAAACCTTCAGATATCCTATCAGTTTGAACTATTTTAGATCTTTCTAGTCAGTTTTATAAGTAAAGATTGAGTGAATTCAGTAAACTTGGTATTCATTATTGTCACTCCAATCACAATCAAGGTTTATTGTGAAGTAAGTAGTGTAACAACAGAAGACAAGGGCCAGGCAACAGATCGTTTATTAAGGAAAATCAACACATATTTATAAATTTCAATGTACATTATTGTAGACTATTGTTAGTAGAAAAACACAGTCTTTTGATTGGCTGTTTCTCACAGAAAGTTAACCTTGCATCTCTTTGTGGCTGTGTCAGATCATCCATATGCTAACTGAATCCGCCTACGCAAAGCCTTTGTTCTCATTTTCTCACCACCAATATTGGGGACATAAACATTGACGTCAATTACTGTCTACCAACTTTGGCTAGCAGCCAGCTCTCACCACAGTAGTAGTAGTAACATGTTTACAGACCCATCTGGAGAAGATTATCAGACACTGGTCACTGATTGTTACTGTATCTATTCCCATCTAAATATTATGGATATTAATCAATAAATTGTAGTATTCTTTTTTAAGAAAGTCAGATGTAATCAACAAAGTTATAGGAACAGGAATGAATGGAAACCACGTACGACAGGATTGAATAAAGTGTTCTTAATTATAGGTTTCACTTTCACAGTTTTTAGCATTTATCCTTAGAAATTACCTGCATTAGATATTTTTATTATGCGAAATCATAGTTTAGTGATTTGCTGTCACAGTATTAATTTCTGTTTTAACATTTGTACATAAAATTAAAAATGATTATTTTCACACTTAACTTTTCTTTAATTAGTGGAAACGTAGATCAACTGAAGGCCTTTCAGTGTTCATGTTCTTTATGACTGTAACGGGTAATTTAGCGTATGGTTTTCAGATTTTTCTTTCATCCACTGAAAGAAATTATTTAATTCGAGCTGTACCATGGATTTTTGGGAGTTTAGGAGTAGTTTTGTTAGATATGTTGGTAAGTTCATCTCTATTGTTCTTTTGTCTATATACTTAACCTTTAGGTTAATTTCAAAGTGTACTATGTCCATTTTTAATCTCCAATGCTGATTTTGTGTGTGTGTGTTCGTATGGAGTGGGTGGGGGAAGAATTAGATTTCTTCTTCTTTGGGTGCCTGAAATCGAGAAACTATTAGCGTTGTGTGACCACAGAGCCAAGGAGACTACTGCTTGAAGCTAGTCATGCACGGTCTGTTCGAGTTGCTTTTTGGAGTTGTGGCCAAATTAAGATCTTATCGCCAGCTAAGGACTGCCGCATAGTGAGTCGAGCTGTACAGTTTTCGGGGTCGGCACCATGGCTGACTTGCTAGCCGTTCGATGGAAAACACCTTAAAAACTCTTACATCCCTATTTCCAAACAGTGCAACTTTTTCACTAGAGACTCCCAACATAGTGTGAGCGACTTACACTATGACAGTAACTGTACTTAGTCTAACAGACTGCCTTTTCGACACGGTAGGGCCTGAAGGAACATTAGTTTCAGGTAGTGTAGCTCGTCGAATCATTGACATGCAAGCCCGAACACCACCACGCCAAGGAAGCAGCTATCGGTCGGGTGAACGGGAGGTTAGCCTGACCACAAGGTAGATTTCGTCATAAACTGACATCTTTTAGAGAACTATTGACAAATGCCTTGTGGTTATTGAGTTACATTTATCTTTTTTATTTGTTCCGATTAAAGTTTTTTTGGTCATTCAGTATGCATAGGTAAAATTATTTAGGTAGAATATTGAATTCATATTTGTTAAGCCACATTATTTAGTTATCTTGAGCAAGAAAGAATGACACTTATCTATCTAAATATGAATATTAGTCTGATAAAGAAATTTCCGTTTGTGAGTACTTGATTTATCAAACGAGATACCGAATTCCGGTATTTAGTAATGACTTTAGTAATTTTATTGGTTACAGGATTTTATTATGAACCTGGGAGTGCTGAACAGCTGTTTCCTCCCCCCAGCTCTTTGGGACTCTTCATCAGCACGCACCCACACTGCGGGGTTCGAACCCAGGACCTTCCGGTCACAAGGGTAGCTCGTAGACCACTAAGCCACTGGGACCCGATCCAATGTTCCATGAATTCCAACTCCTGCCAATTCACGATGTTGCGCGACCACTAGCCAATGTCATCGGCAAGTATTTGTCCTCACACCTGACCTGCTGTACCTCACTGGTCACGATTTTAGTAATTTTAAATCAATCACCCCAAATTACTGTCTCCTTTACTTTAACAGTAGATCCAGCTACAAACATAGACTGAGACAGAAGATATTTAAAATTACTCAGTAACAAAGAAAAATCAGAATGTATTACGTAGTCGTTTTCTTAACCTCAATTACCGCTGACTGAAAGCCGAGTGCTTAAGCCAATGAACCACATCTCCAATTGTACGGTTACTGGTGTTCTCCAAAACCGTCTGTCAAGATTAATTCAGAAAACATTCTTTGGTAAATGTCTACAATTTACCTCTACGCTTACTCTGACTCACCAAAATGTTAAAGACAAGATCTTATTGTTGGCAGCTTGAATGTGTACTTATCAGTTCACTTTCTCCTTTGGAGTTATGTACACAAGTCGTGCCAACAAGACATTGTCTGAACTCGCTCATGAACACTTATCAGCATATTTGTCAAAAAGAGAACTTGGAACAGTCAACAGCCCAATTTCAGAGTACAACATTACTTCTAGTTATGAAGTGTCAGCAGAGACTTCATTCAGCGCCATGCGCAGAGTAAGATGAAGCCAGTCAAAAGGATTTCGCTTACATCTTTCTTCTACAGCCAAAGCTATTGCCATCGATAGGGAAAAATCCAGACTTTGTGTCTAGAAACCTTTTATGAAGCCGCTTTTCTCGTCATTTTCTTTTCTTGACTTTTTGTGTGATATATTCTATGCAAATTTTTGTACTATTGTTTCTTATCAGTCATCCCTAATTAACTATTCACCACCTAATTAATTAGTTGTACGCTTTCTTGATTAAGTAAAGTCAATTAACTGAACTGCAGAAAGCCGAAAATTTGAATATGGTCTTCTCGAATAAAGCGTCTGACGTAATACCACATAATAGGTCCTACCATATAAATGAGGTCTCATCTATTTTTATTCATCGTGAAGAAACTTTCATAGCTGATGGATCGGGAGAATCTAAGTGGAAAGACTAGCACGCATCTGTCGAATTGCTGCTATATGGATCATTATAAAAGTGATTTCCGCTAACAATTTCTCACTTCTGAAACTGTAGTCCCATTTATACTTGATTCAGTCTCCTTCAGAATTTCAGGGAGAACTATCCTGAAATCAGCTTTATACTAGAAAATGAGTCAAACTCGATGTGAAATTTAAAATAAAACCGAATAATTCCATCAAACAGCCTATTTTTAAGTAGCCTACTTGGATCAGGAAACCGATCAACTTTTCCATAGTTGATTTACTTCAGATATTATGCTTTTCATCCCACGCATATGCAGATATAGATGAATTATCTTCAAATTACTGTACTCTTTTGTGCCTGTGAGTTGAGTGAGCACTCGAAATAAGAGTGAATAAACAAAAACGTTTGCGGAGAAGATTCACCTGTCTCTGCACACGCTTGGGATAAGAAACATAACATTGATTGGCGCAATATTAGTGTTCTGAAGTCAATATGAATAAATGAAAGAAAGGAATCTATGTTCATCAATGACTCCCCGAAACAAAGGTGACTGAGTGCAACTGTCAACAACATGGAGTATAATTCTAGATGCACAAAAGTGAATAAACACAAATGGACTCTGTCTCTCTCTCTCTCTCTCTCTCTATATATATATATATATATATATATATATATGATTACGAATTATAAATAGGTGATTCAAAAACAGTTTTAACAGTTGGTGTGATCACGGGATGTAGTTTCGCTCGAAAGATTACCAAAATCAGTAGCTTACAATTGTGCGTATATAACCACTGAAATCTAATTATAATTAATTTATAATAGTGAAGTGTGTATGCCCTTAAATTTTCTTTTGGTTTTATCAAATGATAACAAATATATTTATAATTGTGTATAGGGCTTCAAGTGCTAATATTATAATTAGATAGTGCTTAATTATTACTTTTTCATTTAGGTAATACATTATCCACTATACAGGGTTTTATGCAAGGTGATATATTGAATAATTCATTGACAATGGTGTTATATTTTCTAAAGTTTGGTTTGTAAGGGTTAGTTATGTTTTACGAGTTGATCACGGACTGATATCAGTTAGAGAACCATTGAAAACCAGGGAGTACTGGACAGCTGCTGTTTCATCCTAGTTTGGGAATCATCGGCAGTACGCACACACTGGGATTCGAACCCAAGACCTTCCGGTTATATCAGTCCGTGATCAACTCGTAAAATATAACTAACCCTTACAAACCAAACTTTAGAAAATTAATCTGATGCTCGCTAGTGACTTGCTACAGGACGGAGCTTCCTGCAGTTCTAGTGAGAAGTCGTGACCAGTGAGGTCCAATTAGATGTCACGTGTGTGGATGGATTTCCCACCAACGACAATGGTTGGGGTCGCGCTAAATCACGAATTGGTAGAAGTTAGAATTCATGAGCCCATGAATCGGGTCCCAGTGGCTGAATGCTATACGAGCTTGCCTTGTAACCGGAAGGTCCTGGGTTCGAATCCCAGTGTGTGCGTACTGCCGATGATTCCCAAACTAGGATGAAACAGCAGTGTCCAGTACTCCCTGGTTTTCAATGGTTCTCTAACTGATATCAGTCGGTGTTATATATGTCCAAACCAAGTTCACTTTTAACAGTTTAAAAAAAAATTGGGCATTGGGTATATGATATTCATTATTATAAAATTTTTTGTATTTCCCAATGAATGAATGAAAAACAAAACGATATTGTTTTTACTGAGGTTTCGCTATTTGATTCTAATAGCTTTATCGAAGTATTATTAAACCAGAATGTGCAAAATCTCAGCTTATATATAACAACATCGTTTCTCAGCATGGTTTCATTTTTTCCTTGTCAAGTTGACCAATTGATAAAGATAACAAAACCAGGTGTAGATTGTTGGATTTGATAAGTGTATAAAATTATATAAGCAACATGTGTTTACATAACGAAATTACTCATCATATTCGTGTTGATTTTGTCATTTCATAGTAGAAAGGGTTGTTGTAACCTGGTCCAATTCTGTTTTAGTCCATTATTCCTATTCAGACAATTTGGATTCCATTTGACATGAAGGGCTTCTGATATTAGACGTTCTTTGTGATTTCTGAAATGTTTCTAGATTATTTCAATATTGACAAAATCAATTTTGTGGCCTGATTCCATAGCATGTAGACCTATGGCTGATGATTTTTCAGGTTTTTCTAGTTCAACTGGATTTCTTGGTGGTCGAACAGATGCTCTACGGTGTTCATTTCTTCTGATTTTGATTTCTCGAGATGTTTGTCCGACGTATATCGCATCACATTCCAAGCATTTTATTTTATAGACACAATTAGATAGAGAATCTTTAGGGATTTGGTCTTTTATATGGACAAGGTTGCTTCGCAGTGTGTCTGATGTTTTGAAGAAAACTCTGATGTCGAGCTAATTGAGTACTCTTCTGATACCGTCTGACGTCTCCGCTCTATATGGAATGACAACTGTTGAAGTCCATGTTTTCGGAATACGCTTTCGACCATACTTAATGTCAGTGTTGATTTTGTTGATGAAGTTCTTTGGGTAGTTGTTTTGCTTGGTATTTCTTCTTTTTCTTTCTCATCCGTTATCAGAGAGTGTGCTCGTCTAAGAAGACTTGATACAACTCATACCTTTGCACCGATGGGGTGTGGTGATCCGAAGTCTAAATATTTACTGGAGTGGGTTTTCTTCTTGAATATAGATATACTAAAATGTCCGTTTTCCCTCCCCTCAACTAGGCAGTCTAGAAATGGTAGTTCATCGACGTCTGATTCTGCTTCCGAAGTAAACTGGATTCTGGGAGAGTGATTGTTTATTTTCTCCAAGAATGAACTGTGTAGATCTCGTTTTAGCACTACAAAATTATCATCTACATATCTTAACCATATTTTAGGAGTGAGTATGCTTGAAAAGATGTTATCTTCGAATCTATTCATGAAAAGGTCAGCGACTATTGGGGAAACTGGTGAACCCATAGCAACACCATTTTTCTGTCTATATGAATTCCCTTTAAATGTAAAATAATTACTTTCCAGACAGAATTTTAAGCTCTTAATTATTTCACTGGTATCCAGTGGACATCTTGGTGACAGGGTTGTGTCTGATTCTATCGTTTTGTTTTTCATTCATTGGGAAATGCAAAAACTTTTATAATAATCGACAATAGTGTTACTTGAAATTTAACAGTCAAATCTATGTTTAAGCACTTAGCTCTGAAGCAGGCACACCTACTTTAGAAGGTCTGATATTACTACTTCTTGACTTTCAAAACGATAATAAGTGGAGTTGTTAAACGTGTGCTGAGGAAAAACGATTGCTTAGATTACAGAGAGGAGTGTATTAACTTCTACATTTATGACTAACATAGAAGAACTCTGCCATTATTGATATCTGTTTTATCTATCTGAAACTTATATGTTTAATCTGAGTCATTGCTTTCTTCGTTGGGCAGTGTTAAATGACGTAGAATTTAAAAGACGTAGGTCAGCAAAGAATTTTCTTTTCGTAAGTTCACTTCAAAGCTGTACAGGTATATAGTGTTGGAAAAGGTCAGGGTAACGCATATAAGGTAAATTGTTCATATCAGTTGGTAACAATATCAAGCAAAACAAGTCACGTAATCTAAAGGTGATAAGTGATGAGCATTGCTCAGAAGTGATTACCATTAAAAATTGAAGAGAAATTACAGGCACTTGGAAACAATTAACATTATTCAAGAGAGTAAGAGATTTTAGTATATTTTAAGGTTAGGAGTTTGAAAGGAAGAAATAAGGAGAAGACAAATACTGAATAAGTGTGGATTACATACCAAGTTAAAGAAAGGAAGGTTTAAGGCCACGGTAGTAAAAGAGATTGGTTAAACCACTTCTGTATACACAATTCAAGGCTTTCTTTGTGTATAGCAAGAGCATCTGCTGTGGACAGAAGATATAGCCTTCAAGCGACCTGGTCTTACCTTATATATCGCCTTGAGAGATTTTTCTATTGACGCAGAATGATCTGTAAGAAAAAGATGCTCAAGAATTGGACTATCGGTTCGTCTAATTTCTCCTTTTGGTCCACCGAGGGAGAGGTTTCTCGAGTGGTTGCGCCATAGGATGATGTTGCTTGCTCGTCTCATCGCGCAAGAGGCAGGGATAGGTGTGTTCGGTCTTCCGGAAAACCAATACGCAGTCAATGGGTGTACCATTATGTGTAATGCGTCGGTGGCCCAGCTGTAGAACACTGGCTAACCACGCAATTGGTCCGGGGTTTGATCCCCGGCCGACGCACCTATCCTTTACTCTGCTAAGCTGGTAATAAGCCTGGTAAAGAGGGAAGGTTGAACATGATGCTAGCAACCCTATCTCGTAAAAAACAAACACTACTGCTGCTGAAGCTCTATCTTGAAGCCATATGTTCCACTGGGAACGAAAACTAAATTTAAAATTTTTCCTTTGTTCTTACAAATCACTTTCATTTATTATTTCCTTATTCTTTAGATGTTGGTTCAATTCCTTCTTTATCGGTCAGCACATCCTCGTGGTGATCATGATGAGATCAATCAGGAACGTACACGTTTATTAGATTCAAGCAACAGTCGAAATGAAATTGTCTAGGATTATTTATTTATTTATTCATTTACTTATATGATTATTTCCAATTTATTTTTCATGATTATTTTTGTAAACAGTTTATTTTATTTTGTGTCATCACAATAATATATGATATTTTAAAAAAATTGCCTTTTAACAATCACAGCTTTCCTGTAATCTTTCATTTGTTATTCTGTGATTTGTTGCCTTTCTCTCTTTTCATGTGATAAAGTCTCGCACAAACACGCACACATTTTTCACCTGACCTTTTGAAAAGAAGAGTACGGGCAAAAGACATTAATCAGCTGTTAACTCTGCGCATTTCTTTTCTGTTTTCACTTCTCCTATAGGGGACTTGATGATGGCTTGTTGTATCTGGTGTATACTTTTATTCAACTACCTTTTATCGCTTGTGATATTATAATTATCATATTGAAGTTTTAGCTTGTATGGTTAAGTAATTACCCCTCTTGTAATTACTATTTTGCCAATAAAATATTGATATGAATACAGAGTTTTTGTGATTGTCTTTTCCACATTTATCACAAGTGTGTTGTATATATGTGTGCTTATATTTTGATTGGTTGACGGTAGTCCTATACCTGGGGTTCTCGTGAGAAGTCGTAACCAGCCGGATCCACCAAGTCGCCTGTGACATTGGCTGGCGGTTGCGCTATATATATATATATATATCACGAATTCGCAGAAGTTAGAATTCACGACCCATTAGGTCGTGTCCATGTGGTTGAATGGTTTACGAGCTTGCGTCGTGACCCGGAAGGTCCTGGTTTCGCATCCCGGTGGGTGCGTACTGCTGAAATATGCGATCACTTACCACCATTCTTTGCCATCGTTATATTCAGCTTCAGTATACCTGTATGAAGTGTGGCTAACAATATGTTTTATACAATATTTTATTCTTTTCAAATACTTTTGTCCTTGTTCTTATCTTCTATTACTGATTAGACGATCTGAAAGACGTAGTTGGTTGATTTGAATGCTTTTTCCTATGTTAATATTCCCCCCCCCCCCCGCAGTACATTTCTGCTCACTATAGTTCTTTTGAATGTATTTTTTCTATCTTTTCTTTCCCTTTATGTGTGGCAACTTGAACTAGTGGTGCACTTCTATGCAAACTGACTCTCAGTCATGTAGATATAAACAAGAATAATGGTGGTAATTGAATCTGTATAGCTCTCATTCGTATGACATTTGGGCAAAACACAGATGACGAGTCCCAAATAGGACGAAATGCGCATCCTGGATTCCACTGCTAGTCACCATCCACCAATTAAATTCTAAAAACATAGAATAGTTTATGAGATAGACAACAGATACACTTTAAGTGCATATAAGTAATATCTCTTTATTTATTTTTTTAGAACGTAAAATGCTTCAACTGCAGTTGACACTTGATGAAAATACATTTCTATATATATATAGATTGTCACCTTTTTTAAAGAGTTAATTTAGCAACTAGTTCTTATTCTGTGTCATTGCTAAGACCTTGTAGATAATCGCTTATTTTTCATTGCATAGAGCTAGTCTAATTACCATATCTACAGTTTATTACATAACTAACTCTCTTGTGAAATGCATAATTAGGGCAGTCCGTATTCTAATTTATCAATAATTGAAAAAAAGAAACACTTTCAATATCTTTGATTATATATTCTATACTTTTGTTTGTTGAAATGTACACGTGGTAAATTAAATGTGTTTGACACTGATCATCTGGTTCATGTATCGATTTTATTAATATCAGTATTCTTGTATTGCATTGAATTAATCATAAAGTAGTAATGATAATGATAAGTAATTTATAAGACACACAATATGAAGGCCAGAAGTAGCACAACACGGAAGATCTATGCAAGTGGTGGAGGTGTACATAATTTCGCCATATATAGAGATACCAAATTCCAAATAAACATTCGTTCATCAAGTCTCTTGTCTTCTACCGTTACAGCTTGACCAATAGTCAGTAATTTTACTGCTTGAAATCATTTTTTGATCTGACCACTCTAATTGTCGGTATTAGATGGTTGGAGGCAATCGGCAGGAAGCCTTGGACCTAGGTTTCTTGCTAGTTGGCACTCATCAGCAAGGCGTATCTGCAACCTTGAAGGGATTGATGTCCCTTCTGAGATTCGAACCCGCGTCACCCAGTGCTGCAGTCAGAGACGTTACCACTGAGCTATTCAGGCTCGCGACTGACCTCCTGTAGGACTGTATTGGATATTTTTGATTGCACTAGTTGGTACCAACTAGCATGAAACCTAGGTCCAAGGCTTCCTGCCGATTGCCTCCAACCATCTAATACCAACAATTCACAGTGCACCGTAATGGTGAACCACCTAGAATGGTGGCCACATTGCAAACATGACTGATAGAATTCACTCTGCACCGAAGATAGGACTAGACACATTACACTAGTTACGGACTAGTGTGCAATCAAAAAAAAACAACACTCTAATTGTCGTCTTACTAAATTCTACTTAGGCATATATTGCTTATAGAAAGGGTAATGGCTCGGCATACTGAAGACATCTATCCAACTACTTTAATAGACACACCTCAGTGATATCGTTGATCAACGTACCGTACTTGTTCAACAATCCATGTCTAATTTTATTATTACTTAGCATGTTGATCTGTATCGCGCAATCAAGTGGGCGATAACACCTATGGCTAAAGTGTTTGATCATTTTACATCTTCTACTTGCAGCTGTGAAGTATATCGGGGTGCACTGATGCGCTGTTAACAGTCCTTTAATAGGTAACCGAATATCTTTTTTCTGTTAAAGATGTAATAACCGGTTATGCTCTGGATTATACTACGTGTTTGAATGAAACATCATGTTAACTGTGATATCCTTCCTCGAAGTCTGTCGATAGGAGATGATAATTTCTATTCATAATTACTATCCAGTGTAAAATTTTTAGTAGAAGATTTATCATAATTGTAGTCGTGTTTACCATGAACAGTTTTTACTAGTATAAATATTTTTAAATATAAGAAAATAATGGAATTAGTTCTATATATGTTGGAGCCGCCTTCGCTGGATACTGAAGATTAAACGACCAGAAACGATAAGTGACAAGGTACTCTGACAACGAACTAACCAAGGACCTATCGCTCAACAAATACTCAGAAGGACATGCCCTGAGGAGACCGTTGAATGACGTCATTCGCCAGACAATCCCTCAAGTGGAAGCCCATTAGAAAATGACGGCTTGAGTATGGGTCTGAGGTTGACATGGAAGAGATCGTGTGAAATGGAAGTGAAAGCTTATGGGCGATCGTGGCGCCAGCTGCAAAGGACTGTAGAGGACAGATTAAAATGTAGGTGTGCTGTTATAGCCCTATATTCCATTTGGAACCCAAGGGAATAATAATAATAATTTAGAATTATTCAGCTTATAGTGTTAGGAAAATACCTTGTGAAAGAATGGTGACGAAAACGAAGAAACTTTTCAGTAAAGTATAGTGATAATTATGCGAAGTCAGCCTGAATCGCTGTAGCTTAAGCTAAGGAAAAGGGTCAACTTATAGATTTACATGAATTATGTTTTTAAATACACCACATTTATATTTATCACGGTCATATAAAGAAAGCTACTAAGGTGCAAAGGATGGAATGTTGTTTTGCAGTGAATCTCCAGGTGTATTTCTGATGAATATTTAACTTAGGGACATTTATACGTCTGACTTTTAATTCCTAAAGTTAATTTGTCATTAGTGATTAACTCAAACACTCAATTTTTAAACTTTTAGTCCAATGTGTTCATCAAATCTCTCTTGTCTATTTTAATCCTGTGAATCTTTTTGTTACATAGAGAGAACAGTAAAATGACCTACTGTGGCTCACCTCTCTCTCTGCCTGTGTGACTAACCATACTTTAATCTCGGATGACTGAGTGCTTTTATAAGCTATCCCATACCATTTTAGGCTCCTGTTCAAGTAAATGAATTTGTGTCATTTTAACGAATCGTATTACAAGGCATCTACACAAAAGATAGATGACTACTGGGTTACATTATGATACTAATATTATTCTCCTGGGTTCCAAATGAAACAAAGGACTTCAACAGCACATTTCCATTGCACAATGTTCTCAGCAGTTCTTTTAAGCTTGTTCTAAGATTACCCATAAGCTTTCATGTCACCCTTGGATGTCCAACTTGTTCCCATTCGCGATATCACTCAACGGTCTCCTCCACATATGTGTTAGACGATAGCTTCTTAATCTCTTTGTTGCCATAGTTTCTTGTAACGTATCCTTTCTGGTCTGCCATCTAATCTTCAGTATGGAGAGAAGGCAGCTCTTGATGAAAGTCTTCAATAGCTTGTTAGAAATACTTTTCGTGACGCACGCTCCAAGTCTCTAGGCACTGATTTGCCACTAGTTTTAAAAATCTCGATTTAGTCCTTTATGCTGAATACAGCCAATTTCCAGACTGATTTCGGAGTAATGAATGCCTGTCGTGACTTTCCTAGCCTGGTTTCGAAATCCTCGTCTATGCAGTCTTTAGTTGAAACGATACTGTCTACATAAGTGAAAGAGGTGACTTTCTTTAAGTTTCTCCCGTTGACGGTGGTTGATCACCTCTGTCTCTATGTCCGGTCTTCGCTGCCTACTTCTTCTCACAACATGTTGGTTTTCGCCTTTAGATTTCCGTGTTTGTGTGACATAATTATTCATTGACTTATGTTAAACAGATACAAACAAGTCTCAAGGTGTATTTCTTTTTTGTTTTGTTTTTTCACTTTCTCCAAAATATATTTGTTTAGGCGTTGGTAAGCGATTCTGATGCTTGTAAAGCCTGGCGTAGTCGTGATCGTCTGCATTCCTCGCTGATATCTATATTTCCTGCTGCAGTAATAGGCAAACCAGTCACTGTAACGCTTTTAGATGAAACACGTATAACTGGACGTTTATCTTCATGTGATGGATTGATGAATTTAGAATTGGACAGTGGTGTTATAGTAAGAAATCCGATTACAGATGGACCGAATGAATTCACTCAACTTGATGTAAGATTTAATTTCTGTACGGTATTTTATCTATTTGCTTGTTTTTTTTCTTCTGTTTCCTCTCTTTCACGTATTGTAATATTTCATTAGAGTATGAAATAATTTAGTTTGGATGACTTCTTAAAAAAATGGAGAGAATTCCATTAGGAATTCGGTGATGAATAAGCTGTAAAAGGCATCTAAGTGAAAACACTACAGATTAGACTATGAACTACTGATTGAGTTATAGCATGTCTCTTAATAGACAACCAATGATTCTCATGATGTATCTACATGAGCATCTTGGATGCTACTCACGCTGTTGAATATTAACAAACTGTAGCGGAAAATAGTTGTACTGTTCTTCTGTAATGATTTAATAATTCCTATTGTAACATTAAGGACACATTATTCAGTGAAGAGAGACTTTTTTCAACGAATTTATTATCTAGCTGTACAATAGTATATTTACGGTTTTTAAGAAACTATATCCCTTGAGGAAATTTAAACAAAAAAGTGTGAATACTTAAAATAATATTGTGAAATTCGATCAAATGTTTGTGATTATATTCATAGTTTATTATCAAGCGATAAAATAGATAATATAATTTATAAAATAGTCCGTAAAATGTATGGATCGTAGAAAGGGATCCATAAAATTAATAGGGTTAATGGGCAAATGGGACATTACGTAATATGGTGAGGGGTTTTTGTAAGGTAGATTTTAACATTGCAAAAAATATATTGATTTAAAATAATAAGTAGGACAAGTGAAATAATACGGGAAAGTGAGTAATAAAAATAACAATAGTCGTAATAATAAAGGAATGGTACATAAATTAAATAAATAAATGTCTATTCCTCTATGGCCAAGGTAGAAATATGAACTGTACATGCTTCTTTTGTACACAAAGGTCTGGCTTCAATTTATGAATGGCCAAGGCCTCCGTCATCTTTTGAAGTTTGGAACGAAGAAAACGCTGCATGTTAACATGGTTTCGATAGATGACCTTGAAATCATAGTCGGGGTTGGTAGAGTGACAGGAATCGATCAACTGTTCTAGAATAGAGCTTCTTACACCCTTCCTTTCTCCCTTGTAAAACCATGCTGGAGTGTGTTCTCATAACCATGTGGGAAGTATTCTCTGGCTGCAGCCAATGTACCTTGATCCGCAAGAGCAGGTGAACTAACAGATGCACAGTGAGGCGGCCAGACGATGGAGGTTATCTTTTAAACAGATATTGAACAATTTTAGGCTAGTGAAGATCAACTGGAGTTTAGCTGCAGAGAATGTTTTACTGGTTGGTTCAGAAAGACAATTTTTGAGCATATCTGAAGCTTGGTCACCTTTGAATTCCATACAAATGAAGATGATTTTCTATGGAACTCAGTTAGTGACCGGTTTAGATTGTTTATTTTTTATGTTTTTGTCAATAAATGGACTTGGTAACCGTTTTCAGCAAGCGCGGCTTTTAGAAAAGAAAGTTTCACGTCAGCGCAATCAAAACTGCAAATATTCTTCATCCTTTAGATAGCAGATTGAATGAATCATATTTCTTACGCAATCGTTTGTTTGAACTCAATTAACGCCGGGATAAATCTTTATTGTACCAGGCTATAAGCCACATTTTATTGTATGTGAAGACTGCTGATACTACGCAATTTGTCTAGGCTGAATTAGGCGGAGTGGGGCTTGAATTTAAAGCCCAACTGAATAAAAGTCAAGTAAGCCACATCTCTACGGTTATAAGGAAGAAATTCATTCGATTTATTTGCCGTGTATAATACACATCCATAAGAAAGAAAAACAAATTAGTGTGATTTGAAAAGAAATTGACATTATTCGCATTCATTTACTTCTGAATATTAAGAAAATTTTGAGATCAAACTCCGTCTCTTCAAAAAGTATAAATAAATAATCAACAAAAATGTAATGGATTTCATTTCCTATTTATTTACTAAATCAATTCTGTGTTAATTGAATTGAATTCACCGCACAAATCTCGATATATTTAAAAAAAAAACAAGTTCAAATTTCAATCGAGTAATTGTTTGGATATATATAAAATGCATATTTTTTATGGAAATAATAATAATAATACCACGTATGAACCAATATGCCATAATTAAACTCAATTTAAACAATAACAACAAAAAAATAAGTATTTTTTAAAATTTAAATTGCATCATATCTCAAGCATATGATGATTCAATTTGCTAATAGTCGGTTCCTTTATTTCTCTTTTTTTGGTTTTTATTGTTTTGAGCGATTTATCTGTTAACTAGTTTGTATTGAATGACTAAAGAATCAGCATATTTCTAATATGAAAATAAAAATCATAAAGCAACCTGAAACTCTGTGCTATAGAGTTGCACATCATGTTTCACGCAAAACTCTGTTAGTGATCTCATCAGCAGTTGGACATTATAGTTAACAGAGTAGAATTCTAAACAGTTCACTCAGAAACTGTTGGTGAGAGTTCTTCTTCTGCAACTTATACTTTTTCATGGTATCTACTGTAGCCAGTACTGTCTGAGATATTTCAGTGGACAATAAAGTAAAGCCTGCTCTATCGATCCATTTTGATCCAATCCATTGTTAAAATTACAATTTTGAATTTACCGTTGGTGGATTTCACTAAACTTAAAGGTTTATGTCTGTACTGACTTTTTGGCTCCCATTAAATACGGACGCTGCTATGATGTCTCTAGGTTAACATGATACTGTTTGGTTGATGATGACTAGCAGCAGATTCTAGGATCAGTATTTCTTCCCATTTTCTTGACTCGTCAGCTGGAAACAATGAGTGCTAGGTTCGAGTCCCAGTGGGAACATTATCACTCATTAGGGATGCAGTCATATTCAACTAGAGATTTCTAAACAGGATAACATACGTGTCTTGAATTATACTGCTGGCCATCATCAATTATATGACATCAAGCGAATAGGGTTAAATATATTACACTCAAACTTTAAAAGCATCATCATTAACGGGGTGAAATGCAGAGAACAGAGGTTTCAGGGTAGTGAATATGTTGTTTTGTTTAAAGATTATAAAATATTAGACTGAAGTAATCGATTTTTAGCACATTTTGCTTAGGATTTATTGGAATTACTGTTGTCATATTTATTCATTAGTTGGTTATACTTAAAGTAACACCAGTACGTCATTTCATTAACAGAAGTGTTGTTACCAATATTGATTTTTTTGTATCGTACTGTCTCTGTGGTTATTCACACATCTCCTCAGGAAGTTAACTCCGTGTGAAACAAATTTTCTTACTTGTAATTTGACACCAGATGTTAAATAACTCAGGATTGGTGAGAATGGTAGCTAACTTTATCGACTTAATTGACTATATATATAAACTGATTGTGTATTCTTGATGAAGCCTAACTAAAAGATGGTACAGAATTAGGTGAATGAAGGTAAAAGAAGCAACAAGGATGAAATATATTCACTGTCACCACATACCCACCAGCCACAATAAAATATGCCAACATAGATGTCGAAAATCAGCCCTCTGGTTTCTTAACTGCCGTTAGCTTTGTCCCAGAAATTAGTGGAGTTATTTATTCATGTATGGCGACAATATGCTGATGAGGTCTTAGCACGGATACAAAAGCTTCATGTGACATTTGTCAGCTCATGTTATCTCTGGTGTAGACGCGATATTCCGCTATCGATCAAAGGATGTGCATACTGTACATCAGTTTGCTCTATCCTTCTTAATGGTTGTGAGACATGCCCGTTGAGAGGGAAAAACTTAAAGAGGACTATCTTTCTTTGACCTTACATGTTTGCCTTCTATCTCCCGTGTTGAATAGTTTAATATAGTGAGTAATTTTGAGCTTAGAAGTGTAGTGTTAGCTAAGGAAGGGAAGTTAGTCGATGGGGCTGTGAAACTGCATCTGTCTGTACTCGACCCGACTGTTTTTACTTGGGTTCAGCTAAATTTTATTTAACCCTTAAGTAACGTGTTAATTTCACACCTCTAGTCAATATATATATATATATATATATAAGTATATGAGCTTAACAACACCTTTTACTCTTTTCTTTATACCACTTAATTGCGTAATATTATTAATCCAAATTTTCAGGCCCCATAAGTAATGTATGTGAATATCTTGTATATTGATATTAAAATTGTTTTTAGTTGTAAACAGCTGAAAAATAACCAACGGAATATTATTATCCTGCTCAATTTGTTCTCCTTGCTTTATACAATTTTATTTGGTGGATATATTTCCGAATTGAATAGTTTTATACACAGTATAGCATCTTGGAAGATGTTATCCGGTGTGTATAATACTATCTCACTGTGTATTGTACTTCAACAGATAAACTAACATAGATAACACTTATGGCTATTATTGGTGTCAAAGTCCCACATCTGTATTGATTTAGTTAGACAAATTGATTATTCTATTTTAAGCGATAAACTGAATTCAAAGTTCACCGGTTCACACCATATTGTCATTTAGGTTTTTAATTCAGATTTGTATTTATCAGTAAGGCTATTTACTTTTCGCCTTGTTGTTTTGCTCCTTTATTGCTCCCAGTCTCTAGTGTGTTGTGTATCTGTTATTTTCATAATATTTTAATATGTACTTTTGTGAAAATGTAGAGACGCTTGATTCTCGTCACTAGGATTTAATTATATTTAAGTATTATTATTATTATTCCCTTTGGTTCCGAGTAGAACACAGATCTTCAGCAAAACATCTCCATTTCACTCTGTTCCTCACAGTCTTCTTAAGCTGACTACACGATTGCCCATAAGCCGGCGTTTCTCGTCCTCCATGTCAGCCTCCGATGTTCAAGTCTTACGCGAGGGTTTGCCCTTCAAGTGATATCACTCAACAGTCTCCTTAGGGTGTATCCATTCCATCTGTATTCCCTTCTGTATGTTTGTTGGGTGATAGATTGCTTGTTGTTTCGCTGCCAAAGTCGTTTGTGTTGCGTATCCTTTCTGGTCAGCCATATGATCTTCAGTATGAAGCGAAGTCAGTTGTTGATGGAAATCTGCAGCCTGTTTGGATTATATTCACATATTAATATTCATGTTGCTCATTTACATAATCATGTAACTTTTGTTTGAATAGACAGATATATTCTATCAACACGAAGGTCACATAACTTTGCCTACTTCATTATATTGGTTTCTTATACGTTGTTAAATAAACAAATGTATTAATAGTAACAAATATGATGAATAGTTACACAGTTGTGAACCAATGGGATCACCACAAAGAATGACTCAGCAGTTTGTTATTCTGATTGTCTGCATTTTCATTGGTGAACATAAAAGCCACACAAAAACACTGACCTTTGAAATACTGTTTGGTAGATTATATTACAGTGCAATCATAGATGAAAGTGTCTTTCGAACTTTTACTTTAAATTGCGTCGGTGGCATACCGGTAGAATGCTCGCCGACCACGCATGCGGTTCGGGGTTCGATCCCCGCTAAGCCAGAAGTAATGCTGGTGAAGAGGAAAGGTTTGGTATGAGGCTAGCAACGCCATCCTGTAAAATAAACACTGCTACAGAAACTTCAAGCCACAAGCTTGAAGCCCTATGTTCCACTAGGAACGTGAAGGAAAAAAATGTAAAAAAAACCTAACCCCACCCCATAATATTTGACAAGTGACAAACGGCAGTGGCGTCCGGTAGAAAACATAGTTCTCATGCATTTTGGTAATAATCAGTGAAACATATCTGAAACTCTACGCGTGTTAATACTTTCTCTAAAGTTCGAAACTTTTGTCATCTTATTCAAGTTATCACTACCAAATTGTTAAGGTTATGCGTGACATTGTATAAAATTTCATGGATAGTTTAGTTTATTGTGCATTTTTGCTTGCCTACTTGATTGCCATTTGTCGTATCAAGCAGATCAAATGTGTTTGGATCTGAATAATTTTGGTTTTCAAAGGACACTGTGGTGAGATTTCACTTCGTCGAACTGTGTAAAATGCGAATTTAATTTGACGTATTGCCAGTTCACTCAAATACCTAACCAACATTCGAGTAGTTTGAACTGATTCACCTATCTAAGCTGAATTAAATCGGGTTCATTGTTGACGAGATCGGTTCGAAAGCACCAAACATCCTGTGTTTAGATTACACTGTTGTTTTATGTTAGCTGTATCTAACTACTCACCTAACGAATGAGTAGTATATAGCGTCACACATTCACAATTCAGTCGACAGTAAATTAAGGTATGAGATCGTGTTTGTTATCTGTTCATGAAGCTATATTTACCTTTATATATATTGTAGTAGATAAATAAACCTCTTTCTATGGATACACATTTTTTAAATCAATGTTTTTATTGTATATCACTTCTACACGCCTTACTTTAGAGAATGATTTTTATTTGCTTTTTACAGCTGAGTGTAACCGTTGGTATATTTAAACAAAAATTACATACTAGCTGTGGATAACATTATCAGGATTTCAAATTAATTATCTGTATTCATGGTCTTTGTGGTGCGTTGGTGATTCAACGGTAAAATGCTCACCAGCCATGCATGTGGTCCGGAGTTCGATCCCCGGCCGACGCATTCCTAAACCTTACTAAGCCGGTAGTAAGGCCTGTAGAGAGGGAAGGTTGGGTGTGAGGCTAGCAGTCTCACTTCGCAAAATGAAACCACTGTCGCCGAAACTTCAAAGCTATTGCTTTAAGCCCTGTGTTCCACTCGGAACGTAAAGGATTAAAAAAAATATGTTTTTTGTGATTTAATTATACCATTTGAATTCACATGAAGCCTTATGCCCAGTCCTCCCTGTTTACGGAACTTACTACTAGATGAGTGAGGCTTAGGAGTGCATCGATCAGGCATCGAGCCTAGCCACGTGTATGGTTGACGAGCATTCGACCACTGAACCACCGGCACACCACTGACATAGTTAAGTGGTAGATTTTAACTCAGAGCGTGATGCAGTGGACAGGTAGTGTCTTACAGTGTTCGAGTTTTATTCATACATTTCCTCTTGTTCTCTATAAGTATTTTTTAAAATATTGTTTACGCAATTTTATTTTGTTATCTCTTCATATTTTTAAATAATTTGAGATCTTCAGGAGTTAATTTGTAAGGATCAGATTTGTTTTTGCAGTTTGACCACGGATTGATATCAGTTAGAGAACCATTGAAAACCAACAGGGAGTACTGGACAGCTGTTTTGGGAATCATCGGCAGTACACACCCATTGGGGTTTGAACCCGGGACCTTCCAGTTACAAGGCAAGCTGGCTCGTATACCATTCAGTCACTGGGACCCGATTCAGTGTCCAGCCCTTGAATTCTAACTTCTACCAATTCGTGATTTTTAGCGCGACCACCAACCAATGTCGTCGGTTGGAAATTCATCCTCATTCCCTACTGGATGGACCTCACTGGTCACAATTTCTCACTAGAACTCCAGGAAGCTGTGTTCTGTAGCAAGTCACTAGCGAACATCGGATTAATTTTCAAGAATTGATTTGTAAGGATTAGATTTGTTTTTCGAGTTAGAACACGGAAGTTCCTGGTTTCGAACCCCAGTGGATGCGTACTGCCGATGATTCCCAAACTAGGATGAACCAGCTGTCCAGTACTCCCTGTTGGTTTTCAATGGTTCTATAACTTATATCAATCCGTGGTCAAACTTGAATTTGTTTGTACATATTTTCATTATTTGTCTTTCATGTGGTTAGTGGGATTTCTTATCGTGTATGTATCCCTTCTAAAACTTTCCTTTTGTCTTTCCCAACTTTTAGAAAATGACAATATTTGGTCAAAGAATACGTTATATAACTATGCCAAAGGTAGATAATCTTCCTGAAGTAATTACTAAATGGGAGGCTAAAACTAGCAATAACGATGGAATACTTACGTCTAGACCGCGAAAAGTTTTAAAAGAAAACCAATGCACACAGAATAATGAAAGTGAAGTATGCCATTCAAGTGTCAATCAGACAGCTAAAAAACTTTCATCTGTTGTTCAAAGCATTTATAGTCAATCAGGAAATGTTGCTGAGGATAGTGAGAATAATGCATATCTAGATGAAGAAGATTTAAGAAATTTTGCATCTATCGGTGCAGAACCAAGCGGTGATAAGAAAATCGATTTAATTATGGCTCAGACACTGAAAGTAATTTATGGCGATCTATAAATCATTATACTACTACTACTACTAGTAATAATAATCAGTGACGCTATCAAGGAAGCGTGAATGTTGCAAAAGATGCAAGAATATTTTTGATATACATTACTATTTCATTTACTATCATTTTTAAACGATTCATCAGGTAGATGATCTTACTGTCTACTTGTGTGCAGAACTTCCTTTTTATATTTTGTGTAGCATAATTTCACATTTTTGAAGAGTTACAAAGTCATCGACGCATTTTTCTATCATTTTATCCTCACTTTCTTTGAAATGATTATATTGCATTTATCGATAATCCAGAGAACTATATGTTTATTTTACTCTTAAATGTTCTTTTCTCTTATTTGATGACTGAAACACCCCCTTATCTACATGTTTCAATAACAATTCGCTTCGTGAAACTATTGAATCAAAATGTAATTCATTCTGCGTAATGAAGAGTTAGATAAAAACGAATTGAATGATGCTGAGATCCACCTCCTTAAATTTCAACTTGTCCTACTTCATTTTACAACACTAAGTTGAGAGTCAGTTAAGGGAGAAACTGAAAATGAAAGAGAAGTTTTAAGGCCAAAAGATGAGGAGGTGAATGTTGAAGATATAGCCAATGGATGAGTTGTATCAATTTAACCCTCCAATCATCTATTCCCATTATCTCATGAAAGCTTACATTCTCACTCATTAGGTGATACTGGCTAGTGTTTTTTGAAGGTAATGAAAAGCATATTTAGTGAATTATTTGTGGATACCTCACTTTAGGAAGACATGTGTACGTGCTACCTTAATCGATTGCTATGATTTTTCTGTTCAGCAATATGGTAGTGCACCTTTCATGGTATCATAATAAACTTGGGGAGAAAGTCAAAGTACCATAGCCAAAGTCAAGGTCTTTCAGAATGATCAATCAAATACAGAGAATGCTATGAAATGTCATACCAAATCAAGTCATGCCTGCCTTTTTGGACTTGGAGAGGGTAGATACAGTATTCTACTTATTTACTTGGTACATTTTCTGCAAATTTATACCATTGGGTAGGGTTTCAAGATTACGATTTAGGGTCTAGGGTCAAGGTTAGGCTTAGAGTTAAAGTTAGGATTATGGTTAGAGTTAGGAGTAGGTTGAAGAATAGTGTCAGAAGTATCAAGGGATCTCAAAGTATCATGACCTACAGTCACCTGGATCAATGGATATATTGCGCATGGTACGATTTCTCTATAAATCATCTGTGTAGTGACTGAAAGACATTCTTACAACACATAAGCTACAACTATCCAGTGTAATATCATGTTCGCAATATTTCTTAGTATATTTTGCTACGATTATGCAACTTTTTTGCATCTGAATTCTGATTGGTTGTTGAAGATCACTGTGGTTTTGGCTGTGATAGTTTTGTTGTGAGAGCTGGCTGCTAGCCAAATTGGTAGACAGTAATTTACGTCAATGTTTACGTCCCCAATATTGGTCGTGAGAAAAATATGAACAAAGACTGACTCAACAACCAATCACAGCAGACTTTGCGTAGGCGGATACGATTTGCAGATAGATAATCTGAACTTCAATAAACGGCCACAAAGAGATGAAAGATTAACTTTCAGTGAGAAACAACCAATCAGAAGACTGTATTTGTTTGCTTACAATAATCTATAATAATGTACATGAAAAGCTATAAATATGTGTTGATTTCCTAAATAAACGATCTGTTGCCTGGCCCTTGTCTTCTGTTGTTACAGTTTAACTTTGTCAACTTTGGGATAAAATAAATAAATAAAACCCAGTTAACTAGATAACAGGTACGCTTCTGATCGGGCTCTTGCGATATTGCTGCAATTCTTTCATATTGGTGATAGGCAAATCCACAGGGTTTGTAGTTCAGTTCCTATATATATAACAGGCCCTAGATAAGTGAAGGAAGTAACCCCGGTTAAATCTCTCCCGTTGGTGGTGATTGATGCTGTTCGCTGTTGTTTTTTGTATCCGTTGGTTATCTTCATTACTTCCGTCTCTCCTATGTACACTTGGAATCCTGTCTTTGCTGCTTCATCAGCCAGTTTGTTGGTTCTCGCCTGTAAGTCTTCGAGTTTGTGTGACACTAGAAAAATATCATCCACGTACGAAATCTAGATCTCCTAGAGTTATTTTATCGGTCAGAGCAGCGTATTTCTGGCTCCTCGCTGCCCACTGTCTGACACATGATCCAGTCCACAATAATTAACAGTATCATCGGTGATAATAGGCAACCAGCCTTGTCTTACTCCTGTATTCACTTCGAACGCCTCTCTGAGTTTCCTGTTGTGGTCGGTGGGGTGGAGTTCTGTATCCAGTGCATCATTCATTCTCTCCGGAATGAGACAACATAGTATTTTACTTGGCGTAGACAAGGGAATTATTCCACGCCAGTTCTTGCATAGGCCTAAGCCGCCCTTCTTTGGCGGCATGACAAGGTAGCTAGCCTTTCTTCCAGTCGGTAGGTACTTTTCCTTATTTCCAAACCTTTTGCAATAATGGCGTGAGCACATCTGTTGCAGTCTCTGGGTCCGCTTTCATTGCTTCGGGATGAAGGAATTCCGTCTGGTCCTGCTGCCTTTCCGAGGTTACAACCTAGTATAAATCAATTTGATTTCTGTGTGGTCGCCTCTTTTTTTATTACAGTCTGATGCCACACCGTATTTTTAGTACAAGTATGGAATTTTCAGCATGGATATCGGTAGCCCAAATTTTGCAGGCCGACCATAGATATCGGGTGTGCGTCGGCAGGGGATCGAAACCCGGACCATGTGCATGGTCGGCGAGAATCCTGACCACTGTGCCACCGACGCACAGGTAAGGGTTCCTGGTCTTTGTAAACTTCTGCTTAGTTCTTCCCGCCACTTGACTGTCGTAGACTTGGTTGAATCCAAAAGGAGTGGTGCTGAGATAAATTATATGTTGTTTGTAGTATGTGGTGTGTTAAAACTTCGTTGCTTCTGTGAATGGAGTTGATCCTTTCACCAGCTGGTCCCTTGGCGTCACCGTCAAAAGAAGAGAGATGATAATAATAACAGATATAATTAGTGTAAGCTATTCAGACTAACAGACAGAAAAAGAAAGAAATAAAACGTAAAAACAGACGCCTGATTAAATTCGAAGTCGATATATATATACATATAAATATGTATATATATACCTTTGTGTATATAGTATCAATAATAGTGGTAACAAATGTAAGTGTAGTAGTTGAAGTAGTCAGGAGAGTAGGACAGATGAGAATGTAAGAAGCAAAACGGCGAATTTAATTGTCAACCCATGAGTGCTGCATGGGATTTTAAGGAGATAGGCCATTCGGACGCAGTCCTTGTGTAGCTGCATGATTGTCCAGCCTTCGCTTAAAGGTGTTGACAGACGGTGCCATAGCTACATCTGCCGGTAAGGAGTTCCAGGGACGGCAAACCTGGGGTGAAAATAAATGGGAGCCCACCCGAGTCTTTGCTCTCTGGTGAGCTATCCTTCTGGGATTTCCACGAGGAGGTCTAAACCTACTCAATGGCAGGACACCTTTGTTTGGGTGATTCTGGCCATTTGTTATCCTTTAGGCAGCAATCAAGTCCCTCTAAGCCGGCGGTAGCTAAGTGTGAATAGGCCTAATTTCTTTAGCTGTTGTCGCCCGTCCTTGGACTCTTTCCAGAAGGTTTGCGTCTCTTCTAAGCAGTAGGGGTGCAGTGATGTTGTGCACTTCAAGATGTGGTCTGACGTATGTTTTGTACAACCTTAGAAAGAGATCAGAAGTGAGTGCACCTGACTGTCTATGTGTAAAGTGTATGACCGTATATGCCCTCGCTACGTCCCCCGTGTAATACGCTCGTGTCCATTTTTTCCGTTGGAACTAGACGTCAGTCGTGCTCCGACGTTGTGTAGGACAAGCTTTCGTTGCACAGGGTGTAACTTACATTCCAAAGCCTACAGGTGTGTAATTTTGCAACTTTGCACTTTCTCAGGTTGAAAGTCATATCATTGGCCACCACCCAGTCTTCCAGAAGCTTTAGGTCTACCTGCCGCCTATTTGAGTCTTCCGAGCACTTTATTGTTCTCGAAATCTTTATGTCCTTAGCGGAAAGAAGAGCCAGGCAGTTTACATAGCATGGTAGATCACTGATAAAAATCGAAAAAAATCAGTGGTCCCAGGATAGAACCCTGCTACACTAATGATGACGAGGCGTGCCAAGATGATCGAACTCGATTGACCTTAGTGCGAAATTTCCTTTCAGCTAGGTAGTATTTCAGTCATGACAGATGCGGCCCGCCTATATCTGCCTGACTTATTTTGTGTAGGAGGTCTTGTTAAACTGTCTTAAGTGTCTTCTCAAAGTCTAGGAAGACCACATGGACTAGAACATTCAGTTTCCAGTATGATGTCTAATCGTCCCAAGCTGATCGCAGGTTTGTTACGCAGGATCTGCCCCTCCCGAAACCATGCCGTGCTTCATGGAATCTTTTAGTACTGTTTAGGTGCTTCCTGAAGTGATCATCAACTGTACTTTCTAGTGCTTTTGATACCATCGGGAGTAGCGCTACTGGTCTACAACTGGTGGCATTTTGCCTGTCCCCACCCTTGAAAATCGGAGAAAGGATGGCTCTTTTCCACTCCCTTGGCAGTTTCCCCGAATCCTTCGAGTGTTGGGACAAGTCGCATAAGGGCCTACACAGGGCTTCGGAGCACTGTTTCAGAGCGGATGGCCTGATGTCGTCACAGCCTGGGGACTTTTCAGACGCGGGTCTCTGCAGGTTCCCTAGTACTATTACCGGGTTAATTTGGGGAGTAGCCACTAGGTCTTCCTCCCGTGAAATAGTAGTGCCACCATTTTGGTCCGTACCAGTATTACCCACATTGCCGTTTAAATGTTTATTGAAGGCTAAATTGAATGTTTCAGCCATCTCCAGACTACTGAGGTACTGACCGTTTGAACCTACTAAAGCGCATGCTGTCTCGTTGGTGGGTTTTCTCTCTGACATGAATCGGTGCAGGTTTTTGGGGCTCTCCAGTTTTCTGCAAGGTTAGCCTGGAATGACCTCCTGTCACTCCTGACTCTCACGTTGCACCGGTTCCTCAGGTCCAGAAATGCGTCGTGATCGGTCTGACTCTTGGATACTCGTCATTTAGACCAAGCCTCCCGCTTTGCCTGCAGAATGCGTTGCGTACCTCATTTCACCCATGAGTACCTGTTTTTTGGCTGTGTTGTGACTAAAGGGATGTTGTCCTATATCGCTGTGCGAATAGTCCCTTTTACCACTTCCCACTGTCCATTCACAGATAACTCAGCCAATTCAATGGGCTATTCTGCGTCTGAATAAAGCCTCCACATTTCAGCATAGCCCGCCTTGTGATGGCACAGACATGGTCGCTTAGCGTCCCACTGTAGGCACTCACGGAGAACAAGATTGAATCCTATGACTGCTTGGTCACTACTTCGTAGGGGAGTCATGATCTGGGCA